AWATWWYWCYATATGAGAACTAAACGTTTCTTTCGCAACTTTGGAATTCCTGAAATTTCCTGCATTATTGTAAAAAGCTCTTATACGCATTACTAATGACGAGAAATTAATTTTTTTTTATGCGAATTTGCCAAAAAATTCTTTGTATAAGGCAATAGAGCTTAAAGTTACAAATACATTTTCGAAAACATAATTATTTTTATGCTCGAGGTCTTTTGTGAAGACGACATCAACCGCGCGCGGTTTCTGGCACTTTTGAAAAGAAAGCCATCGTCGTTTTGTCTTTAAATACAAGAATGTGCGACTTATTTTTAAAAGCAATCTTAAAAGCAATCTTATAAAAAGTAACGAAGGATGAATTCCCGTGCGATCATCCGTCAAATAAAATACGTAAGACATGATGTAAAATCACGAAAGAACACCAAAACATCACGAAATATACGGATTTTATCTTCAAGTGTTGAAAAAGGGCTCTCATCAGTGAGCGTATCAAGAAATTAAAATCCCTATCTCCGGTATCTTTTTATCATATAATTATCTGAAAGTAAATTACTGATGTTTTAAGAAGTAACATATATATACCTCCTATATAGAGGAACCTAGACAAGTATGTTATTTCCACTTGTAAGAATAACAACTTTTCAWAAGAAACAAATAAGTTATTTCATAGATAATTATATGATAAATATTTTTTTGTGACCTTAAGCGTGAGTTTGTCGGCGAAACAAATCACGCTTTTGGTCCAATTTGTGCGTGTGTATTATATTATATTCTTAACTATGTATTTTTACTTATTAATCCTAAATAGGTACCTGTTCAATTATTTTATTTTAATTGGACAATTAGGAATGATAAGTGGATGTGTAATTAATAGGTAATTAGACTCYATACTGTCCAATTAAGAAATAATTAGACTCGAGATTGAAAAAGATAACTAGACAAGAAAATCTGCTTGTGAGTATTTGGCGGGAAGACGCGCGCGCGCGCTGGGGAACAAACATACCCGGATGTTCCGAGATGATTTTCTACTTTCTCCACTGGGAGCCCAAGCAATGACCTTATTTTGGTCGAGAGGTATCGAGAGAAACGCTTTTTCAGGTAAAAAAGTTCACAAAACCTGAGACACTTGCGCGCTCAAAACTACAAACTAGTATAGGCAAATTCGGAGACTATGGGGGGCCAATCGGGACAGTTTAACCTGTCACGGAACACATCGCAACTCGTTTTGATTTAATTTCGACGCGGAAAAAGGATTTTTGTCGATCGTTTTTTTCTCTTTTTTAGGAGATTTCAAGCGGAGTTTCCTCCCTTGTCACTCTTTCTACATATATATAGGGAGGGGGGATTTTAGTCAAAATAAGATAAAAGTAAACCATTTTTAGAAGTAAATTGGGTTTTTTTAACTATTATAGGTTCAAAATCGTTTCTTTGGCTCCCTGTGATTTCTCTTCTTTCCCTCTTCGCTATTCATAATGTTTTTTCTTTCACTTTTTTTTGTAAATTAGATAAGATGATAAGATGACAAACAATTATTGARTGWCAACSRAARGKTYSRARSYWARRARRMYT